TAACTTAGTATCTTAATATTTTAACTTAGTATCTTAATATTTTAATTTAGTATATCAGTATTTTAATTTGGTATTTCAGTATTCTTAAAATAATGACAAACATTCTCAGTATTTTTAATTAGTATCTCAAAATAATGTCTAATCACTGACATCTGTCCCCAAGGATGTCTGATGTGACCGCCAATGTCTGGTACCTAATTGTCTAAACACAACTGAAATCCGTCTCTCTCTCTCTCTCTCTCTCTCTCTCTCTAGCCGACCCTCTGGTGGGAAGCATCGCCACACAGTACCTGACCAACAGAACAGAGCATGACAGAATAGCCAAACAATGGACGAAGAGATACGCCACATAGACTCCCCGCCGCGACCCAGCCCCTCCTTTACCTCCCTCGCCCTTCACTGTACCTCTCTCTACCTCTCGCTCTCACCCATAGTCTGTCAAAGCACACTCACTAAGTGCAACGGTATACCTGCCCTCTTATCACCATCCTCCTCTTCCTCCTCTTCCTCCTCCTCCTCCTCCCCAACATTTTATCTACCTTTTCTGTGTAAAAATAACAAAAAAAATCAAACAAGACAAAAAAAAAGTCCTTTTGTTCCTTGTTGACTTGAAAGCTTCTTTTTTATACAAAGAGTAGATTGGGATTTTTATTTTCCAATATCTGAATGTTGGAAGTATTGTATTGGAGAAAAAAAACACAGAATATTATAATTATCATACGCATTGTCCTCCAGCTATACAGTATGTATTCTCATTTTCTTAGTGGCACCTGGAACAAAACATGCAGAATATATGCTTTTTACTTTGTTTTCCTTGTTGTTGTTTTTCTTTTTTGTATTTGTCATCAATATGTTATCTGCATGGAACAGGAAGGTTTGCGTCAATGGATCCTTCATGCTTTTTAACTTCCTCTGATTTTGTTTGTACTGTATGTATTTTTTCAAAGGCTTTTGAGGCAGACCACAAAAGTATAGGTCTGCCTGTGAAAGAGGCAGGACTTGTATATTTACTGGCTACCCGCCACCTCTGCAATTGCAGAGTGGTTTGTTGTGCACTTGTATTACTGAAGCACCCAATAAAACACACTGTGGTTGGCTTGTGAGAAAAAAAAAACAAAAAAAACGCTCGGCTCTGCCTGGGATTTGTGTTTGACAGCAGATATTTACACCTGTTCACTGAACCCCCTCCAACTCTCAGCTCAGGCCTGCTTTTATTTCTCACACACACACCTGATTATAAAGGTTTACAGTCTGAAAACATCAGCTCAAATAAAATAAAGTTCTTGTCAGATATCTGCTTCACCCTGGGTGTGGCTCATTATGACTCGAATGAAGGAGGTGTGAGGTTTGTTTCCTCCGTCTGCAGGATGGCTCGGGCCTTTGGGTGACTGGATGTTGGCAGTGGTCCAGATGTCTTTTGTTAATGAGCTTGATCTTCTGAGGGCATGTTTCCAGAACAAAGAAGTCAAATTAGAGAGTGGGAATTAACAAACTGAAGTACTCTTCTTACTGTATTTAAATGGCTTTTTGATGTGCGTTCAAGTACATTTAAATCAGTAATCATTCTTTTTTATAGATTTGGTGATGTTGAGCTGTTGGCCGATCTGCCACTGAAATATCTCAACAACTATCGGATGGATTTGTATAAAATTTGGTTCAGATATTCATTGTTAACAGATGATTAACTGATGATGTTTGACGTTTCCTCTAGCGCCACCATGAGGTTGACATCTGTGGTTTTATATTGGAAAGTAAAGACATTCATGCTCCTCACAGTAAATTATAATACTATACAAAATTTGTGAATAATAATGTCAAAATATCAATTTGTACATTGTCTTAGTTTATGACAAACACTAATGACATTCCCTCAGTGTGTTCAGTGCAAATTAACAAATGTTCTGACTGTAAAAATATCCCTGGTGCTGGATTTGTGATAGAAATAGACTTTTTCTACATCATGAAACCCCTGAAGCTGCAGTGGTGTTTAACACACAGGGAGAAAGCTAAAGGAATCAATCCACCTCTGCTTGTATGCTGGATCATGCATTAGAAGGACCCTGCTGCCTCTCATAGGTGCAAATACCCTGCTTTGTAAAGTAGTCTGTCAAATGCTGAGGCACACACACACAATGTCCGTCTGAAGAAGAGTTTCACACTCTTCACCTTTTGAATGCAATAGCACTTTCTTGTGTCTAAAAACATGTCACCGTCTGCTGCCAGCGACTGCTTGGACAAAAATATAATTTAACTGGCTACCTGGCGACGAGTTTACAGCATTGATCAGTTTGTGCCTTAGCCGTTGTGGGACTTAATCTAAATCATTCAGAGGGATGTCTCTTAAAGCGACTGGTTGTCTGACTTCTGTAACATTAAATCGTCTGAGCTCAACCAGTTCCTGACAACCTGAAACAAATACCGTCAGAATATCCTCGAGAGGATCAGTAAATGGCGACTGCAGGGTGGCACAGCGCAAAACTACATGCAGTCATTCATCTTTTCCAGTAAAAGGAAATCCTGCTAATGGGAATAAAAACAGGAAATTGATCTGAAAGTGTTTAATGAAATACTGGCTGAAACAAAGCTAAACCTGCAATCACTGATCTCCGCTCATGGACACATACACACAGATAGAGGAACATACTCATTAACACTACATGCATGCAGGCACACGGACCCATAAAATTAAGCCCATAAAACATATTTCCAAGAACATGCACACATACACACGCGCAAAACCTGTATAATGATTGTAATGCGATGTTAATATTGTCATGTTTGTTATTATGTATGAGAATATCCCTATTTATCATACTACAGTAATACTCTTGATATTAATGATACGTTATGAGCTTTTTAAGTAGTATCAGCAACACATCTGTATCCTGTAACCTGTTTTAATGTTGTTTTTTTTCACTGTCCCTGACAAATGAATAAATGAATACCTCATGATTTATACATTAAAATCTTTACCAGAATCATCACAAGGGGGGGTTATTATGTTGATTATGATCCCCATTAGTTATTACCTTGGACTCAACTCTTCCAGTTCATATTCAAATAAAATACATATAGTCAACAATGTTTGCACTTACACTTCATACAGAAAACAGTAAAGTTACCAAATTAACACTGTTAGAAACACTTAGCTCAACTAACAGAACAAAATAACAATAATAATCTGTTCCTCTAAAAAAGAAAGGAAGCAGGCCTCTATATGACTCAATCAAGCATCCTCATTAATGTTGACAGTTGAAAGATCATCTATTAAATCAATAACCTCCTCTTTCTTTTTTTGGGGGGGGCTTTTATGATAGAGACAGCTGAAGA